CATTCTATGTTGACATTTTTATCCATTCGTTTTTTTTCAAATATTTTCTTTTATCAAATTTCTTTGGTTTTATTTGTAATTTTATAGTTTAAATAAATTAATATACTCATGGACTAATAAGTAATTAAGTATATTTATATATTACATGTACATCTAAAATAAACTTCAATTAAATTAAATAATACCTCATTTATTTTTAATATTTGAAATGAATTCTTATGAATAATATCTATTATCTTAAGTACATAATTTTAAAGCAATATTTTTTTAACGATCACCTTACCTTTTGTTATTTTTCTTCTAAAAAGGATATAATTTGATAATATAATAAATAAATTTTACCCCATATAACATTAATTATATAATTGTATTTTTTAAAAATATTAAAGTTGTTGAAAATGAAATTTATATTCAATATCAATTAYTTTTTAAAAAATCTTATATTAATATGAATTCTACCTAATAAGATATAAAAATTAATACACATACACAATTAATATAAAAAAACATAAAATATTAAATTAATTTTAAGAAAATATATTATATAAATGCAAATTATATTAGATTAATGTACAAATTATATGAATATTGCGTTTTTGGAAAATTATATAAATTTAGAACATTTCCATAAATAAATCCTGCAAAACAAACGTGGTTATCCAGATATTCTCGAACATCCTTATATATTTTGCTACGAAATAAATGTGACCATCTGAAGATGCCGGACATCTAAAATTCCGGACATCTGAAGATGTCGGGCATCTGCATTCCTAAAAAACAAACGAACCTTTTTAAGCTTTCTCAGATCTGTTCTTTAGAGGTTAGTGATGGTTTTTGCTTGGCATTCGATGCGCTCAGTGTTGTTATTAGAAGTTCTTGGCTCGTATGGGCATGCTACCATCCTTGGGTAGCTCTTATTCAATCTCCATGATTTTCACTAATTGTTGCCATCTTTCCTTCTCGTCTTCTTAGCATGTAATCTTGTAATTGGCCCTTGAGGTAGATTTGGTGGCCCGATGATCGTATCAACTCTGGTTAAGAACTTTTTAAAAAAATAATAGTACATTACAAATACGGGATTAAAGATTCAAAAATTATATAATTAGGAGAGATAGAGATTATCCATGAAATTAAACGATATGCTAAAGTAGGTGAACTTTAATTAATTAATAGTACTAACATTATATTTTAAAATGAATATAACTTGTCTAATAACCATCTTCTTATCTACCATTTATAAAGTTTTCAAAATCTAAACTAAATTGAAAATTATAAAAGGAAAAAAGTTTAATTAGTTACTAATATTTGAACACAACATTGACATGGGCCCAAATAATACCATGCAAATTCCAAAAGGATAGGATTCATTATATTTGGGTTGAAAATAGAGAATAATATCTATTATAGGAATGTCTTTCCATTTCTGTCCACTTGCTGTGTTCCACAATAATCTCATATATATTATCATTATAAATATCTGAATTAGTGGAAAAAAATTAAATCATACATCTTTTGGAATATAATATTATAAATATAAAATAGGATAGAGATTCGAGTCTTTAATCTACAAAAAAGTGGCCAATATTTTTAATTAATTGAATTTTGTACACAATTGGACAAACGAGACTATATAAATATTTAGGGACTATCCAATAATATTTATTTGTGTGACTTTAATTGCTAAATTTTTATGTTAAATATCCAAATTTTATTCACTAGCTAATACACTTATATCAGGATTAAATTACTATTTCATTCTTTAAGGTTTAACTATCATTTAAGTCTTATAATTTATGCTCTATTTCATTTTATTTGATTTCTATGATTTTATGAAATTTTCTCAATATCTCTAATGTCATATCAAAACTGTTGATAGATTTTTTTGTTGTAACACATTTTTTTTTTCTATGTCAACCCATAGCCTCTTTCTCTCGTATCAAAGAAACTACGGATTTGTGGAACCGAATTATTAAGTAGGCTTAGTGCATGTCTGTTTGAAGATTTATTGGAGCGAGTCTGTTTTAAGCAATTGAAATCAAAGATAGATAGCTTATTTAGTCTCCTATGTTAAACTGAATACAATTCAACTAATCAAAAGACTAATGCCGGATGTGCATCCTATGTTTTTTTTAGTTTATAAATAATAATAGTTCTTCGGTTGTTTTTTTAGGAGGGTAACTATGTAGAATTGACACGAGTGTCTTTTTCTTTATCGCTTATATTGTTGTTGTGTCATTGTATTCATAGAAAAACAATTTATGATCGATCACAACCTTCAAATTTCCAACAACAAAAAATGCCACTCATAAAAAAATGTGTCACCTAAGAATAATACTATCAACCCATGATATCTACCTCACGAATTAATTTCTAAGTATTTCTTGACACCAAATGTTGTACGGTCAAGCAGTGTCTTGTGATTAGTCGAAGTGCGCACAAATTGGTCCAAACACTCACGAATATAAGTAATTAGGGTCTATTTAGAAATCATAATTACGTAAAAGGATTGAAAAGTATAGAATTTACACTTTTGTCATGAAATAATCCCTAATTAGATGGTACCCATAACATAAATTACTATATATCCTTAGCATCCATCTTAATATTAAATAATTATTAAAATTTAGAATTGGTAAATTGGGAGGTCAAATTCTGCTAATGATACTTTCAAAAATTAAAAAATATCAAAACCCCAAAAACTCATCCATTTTCAAAATTCACCCCTTTCTTCTTCCTTGTTTTTCTTTTCTTCCTCCGACCGTCGGTTTTCCTTCCTCCGACCATCCGTTCCTCTTCTCCGACCCTCCATTTCTCTTCTCCGACCGTCTGCTTTTCTTTGTCGCAAGAGCATTTTAGCTCTGGCTGCCTTCGAAAAGAGATTTTTGTCGGATCTTATTCTCAGGATGCTTATGCCTGCCTTCGTCTCCGGCCGACGTTTGCCTGCCTTCATCTACGGCCACCTTCATTTTACTTAGTCGCTAGAGCAGTTCATCTCCAGATTAAAAGGTTTTCATTCCAACGAAAGTTTTCAATTTCTGATTTGGTGTGAAATATTGTATATGTGAGGATAGTATAGTGATTTGATTAGGATATATCTTATAACTCAACTTGTATACATGCGGATATGCGGATATATACTATAGTGATTTTGAATGTATATATACCAATATACTTGTATATATATGCAGATATGTGGATATATACTGTGATTTTGAATATGCGGATATATGTTTATTGAGACTTCAAAAGATGTTTATGTGATTTTGAATTGTCTTTGAAGATTGAGCACCAATGTGGGAGTGAATTAAGGAAAAATCGGAGTAAATTAAGGTTTTGAAGGAGTCAATTAAGGGATTTGTGTTGAAAATTAGTATGGGACCCACAATAATTAAACGATTACGATAATAATTTATGTAATTAAATCTTTTGATATTTAAAAAAACAAATAACTATAATAAATGTAAATGCAATAAATAAACGGTAAAATCGGAATTAAAATAAAATCATACATGCAGAAATCTAAAACTGTAAAATTAGAAAAATTAAGACATTTGTGTAAATAAGTTTCTAAAATAGCCATTCCAACATTATCTCAAAAAATACTGCCCAACATTTAGTAACATCCACAACCTTTTAAGAAAATCTAAGAACTAAACACAAATCCCATGAACTAAAATGACAACTTAACCTAAATTTATTAATTCAAAATTTGATACATTGAATACTATATAAGATATATGAAGTCCCAAAATACCATCGAATGGCAAAAACAAAACAAAAAAAAAAGAAAAAAAAATCTCGTAGAAATCTAGGGATAAAGTTGGGTTGTCGGTTTTTTCAAAGTCAACCTTTAGGGGTAACTCTGTAATTTCACCTGTTGATGACGTGTCCTCCGTTTCGGTGGGCTCTATCCGGGTATTAAATAAATAAATTCAATGGAAATTTACAAAAGAAAAAAGCAAAAAAGAAAAATAGGCCATGAGAAGAGAATAGAACCTTTTAATGTGATAATTTGAAACAATTAGATTGGTCGGTTGAATTTAAACACTTTCAAAATTCATTTGTTTCAAAAGTGATGTATCTTGAAAAAGAAAGAGGCATGTTTCATGGTTCGAGATTAAAGTACACGAATAAAACGAGAAGATAAAAACAAGAAAGATAATTAAAAGTCATAATACGGATTAATATAGAGCTTAAATCTCGAGTAAAAAAAACCAAACTCGAACAAATAAATTCTGAATCGTTTTATGAGTAAGTAAAGATCTATCCCGAGAACTACCATCTATATCACTACTCTTTACATATAATTTTTTTTAATCACATATCAACAACAAATTCATCACTAAGGATTCTTTTGTATTTAATAAATATTCAATTACTTATATTTGAAGACAAAATTTCAAAAAAAGAATATATGAAGTTTTAATTAAGCTAAAAATCCAAACTTTAAAGATTTTAGATGTGTAACGATAAAAATAAAAATGGTATAAATTAAAGACTATGATATAAAATATAAAGTTTTTCCTAGTTAAAAAAAAACAGAGATTCAAACGTTCGAGTTTTAGAGAAATGAATAATGTATTGATTAATTAAATTACTATACTTACATTTGACGTATAAAATTCAAAATTTTTTTAGTACAATAAATAGGATGAAGATTAGAATTAATGACTTCTTAATTAAAAATATATGTCAATTATGTTGAGCTAAATTCATGTTGACTATAAAATTTAAAATTTATAAACATAAAAATGAAGTAAAATATATATGAACTCCATATTATATTAGTTTACATTAAAGAACAATCCTTTCCATCAAAGATAAACCATGATAAGAAAAGAAAAATAGAAAGGAGAAAAACGCTCATCCTAAGAAAAACAAAATCTTTAAAATTTTTGAAAATGGAAGGAAGGATTCTCCATGGAAATCTGCGGAGCAAAGTAAGCAAGCAAGTAGTTTATTTTAAAGGAAAAAAAAGTAGCTTGCTTTGTTTATATATTTTTGAGAAATTAGCTCACGCCTTGGATTTAATATAAGCCTCCTGAGTTGGGTTCTGTGTCAACCACAGAGAGAGAGAGAGAGTTCTTGAGGAGCCACAAAGGAGAAAACCCTGAGCTATTTCTTCTTCCTTTTGTCCCCTTTTTTGGCCCCTTCTTCTTCAATCTGATCTTTAAGCAGTGGATCATCAGTCTTAGGTTCTGTTTTCTCAATCCCATCTGCAGATTTCCTCAACTTTCTTCATTTCCAGCCTTGGATTGGATTTTACTCTGCACCTTCATCGGTAGGCTTCTTTTTCTGTATCTGTTTGTTGATTCTCTCTAATGGGGTTTCTCAGCTGCTGATTTTACTTCCTTGGTCTACTTTCTGAATCTACTTGGGATTTTCTTTGCCTTCTACTTTTAGGTTTTCTGGTGTTTTAAATACTTTTTTAGCTTATTTTGGCTGCATTTGTTTCTTTTTTGTGAGTAAAATGTAAAGTTAAGTTTAATTTCTGTGCTTGGGGTTTCTTTTGGAAGCCCTGTTGGTGAGGAAATGGATCTTTGACCTCTGCTACCAATTGGGTTCTTGTGCTTGAGGACCTGTCATTTTTTTTTCTTAGGGTTTTCAATTAGTTGCAGCTTTATTTTTGAATATGATGATGTTGTAGTTTCTTTGTTTAAATCTCTTGATCAGCTGATTCATGACTTTGTAATTCATGTTCTATTTGCTTGAATGATTTGTGGGTGTGTGAAATAATGTCAAAATGTTTCTGAAGCACTCTAAGAAAGAAGAGAGATCCATTCTTTTGAAATATCATAAATTCTGAATACTTTGAATTGTTTGTTTTACCTGATGGGTTTGGAAGATAAGCCCTGTATACTATGTTCTTCGAATCAGACGCTTCAAACATAGATATCGGATTCAAATGGATACAAGTTTGTATCAGGTCTAAAATATGTAATTTTTGTGTCTCTGCTGAATCTGGTATTTAGGTTGGTTAGGTAACTGTATTGGTATTGTAGAGATTTCGTGACAGAGAATCTCTTATCCATGTTTTCGTGCTTGGTCTGGCTTTGATTCTCCCTTTTCTTTAGCTGCTTTTTAAGTGTGGGTAAATGACTTTTGAATGCTGTCTATTTGATATGCAGTTGATGGTGTACGCTGTGTTCTCAGTGATCTTTTATGTGGAATATAGTTTATGAAGCTATATTGAAGATACTTAAAACAGGGTTTGTGGCACGTTGAGTGATGTCGTTCCGCAGTATAGTACGTGATGTTAGGGAGGGGTTTGGAAGTTTGTCCCGGCGTAGTTTTGAGGTGAGACTGCCCGGACACCACCGCGGTAAATCTCATGGATCAGTCCATGATCTACACGACCAACCTCTGGTAATTCAGAACAGCCGTTGGGCTAGCCTCCCACCCGAGCTATTGCAGGATGTAGTCACAAGATTGGAGGAGAGTGAGAGTGTGTGGCCTGCTCGCAAGAATGTTGTTGCTTGTGCGGCTGTTTGTAGGTCATGGAGAGAAATGTGTAAAGAGATAGTAAAATGTCCCGAGTTCTCCGGGAAAATTACCTTCCCTGTCTCCTTAAAGCAGGTACATATTACATAAGGAACATAATCTTTTTGATGTTTAAATTCTAGACTTCAATGTGAATGGATTAAAATGTACATTTTTTTGGTGAAGAGTAAGCTATTTTCTTATTTCATTTTTCTTTGCAGCCAGGGACTCGGGACGGAACCATTCAGTGCTTCATTAAGAGGGACAAATCAAATTTAACTTACCACCTTTACCTTTGCCTAAGTCCCGGTAAGCCCTTCTTTTATGGTCATTGCACTAATTCTTATCTCTCTTATTTTAATGTGTTACCAGATGTGAGTCTTCTTGGTTATGTTCATGTCAATCATTGCATACTTGCCTCTGGGTATTCACAAAGTAGTTTCCCTGAACATCGATATCATTGTGCAGCCTTACTTGTTGAGAATGGAAAGTTTCTTCTTTCTGCAAAAAGAACAAGGAGAACGACTTGCACCGAGTATGTCATCTCCATGGATGCGGATAATATATCGAGATCGAGCAGCACCTACATTGGAAAACTAAGGTAGGATAACTTCTCTCCATCTTAAGTTCCTTACTACCACAAGATATCATTAATTCTATCATCTGCCCATATGTATCAAAATTTGAAAGATTACTATATATCGCTTACGAAAACGGTAAAAGAGCATCTTTTGGCCTCAGTTGATTGTTAGTATTAATTACAGTGAATTATTTGATATGTTGTCTTGATTGTTTTCCTTTTCCCCTCTTCCTACTCTGCTAGATTTCGTTAGAATCGTAATGTTGTAAACCTTTAGCCATTGTCACGGCTTTTACTGCTAGTATTACTGATTATGAGAGAAGCAGAGGAAGCAAATGTTATTTAGATTTCTTCGAGTGATGTGATTCAATTCTTGTAGCGTTTTCTTGTAAAAAGTGCCTGGTTCCATGCAATTTTTGGTTTGCTTCTTCTTTTCTGTTTGTTAATGGATATGTTCTCTTCATTTCAGGTCAAATTTTCTAGGGACCAAGTTCATTATCTATGATACACAGCCTCCATACAACAATGCCCACATTTCCCCACCTGGTCGAAGCCGTAGATTCTACTCGAAAAAAGTTTCTCCAAAGGTCCCAACCGGTAGCTATGACATTGCTCAAGTCACCTATGAGCTGAACGTTCTAGGGACGAGAGGCCCCCGGAAGATGCACTGCACGATGCATTCCATCCCCGCCTCATCCCTTGAACCCGGTGGCACAGTTCCAGGCCAGCCTGAGGTCATCCCTCGACTCCTTGAGGATTCATTCCGAAGTATATCGTTCTCGAAGTCAGTCTTCAATTCTACTGAGTTCAGTAGCTCCCGCTTCTCTGACATTGTTGGCTCACGGGATGAAGAAGAGGTGGAGAAAGAGAGACCACTGATTCTTCGGAACAAGCCACCGCGGTGGCACGAACAATTGCAATGTTGGTGCCTCAACTTCCGAGGGCGAGTCACCGTTGCCTCAGTCAAAAACTTTCAGCTGATCGCCGCAACAGAGCCTTCTTCTTCCACGGCTACGAACCAATCACACCCACCCCAACACGCGCAATCGTCCCAATCCGACCACGACAAGATCATTCTTCAATTTGGGAAGGTTGGGAAGGACATGTTTACGATGGATTATCGATACCCGCTGTCTGCGTTCCAGGCTTTCGCTATATGTCTCAGCAGCTTTGACACCAAATTGGCTTGTGAATAAATGAAACTAGAAGATGACTCATTGCCAAAACAACAAGGGGGGATTAGCCTATGATGGTTTCTTTCTTCTTTCAAATAGAATGTGTTTGACTGTATGCAGTGCCTGTAAAAAATCATCCTTCCAAAAAATTTGTAGAACAGTTTGTGTGCACCCTGAAAGGGCTAAACTTTCTCCCCGGCTCGTGCTCCCGAGTAATTACTTTCGTTTAGTTCCCCGTTCAGTAATCAGCTAGAACATTAATTGCATTGTTAGAAATGCGAATATAGTCTCTTGTCGATTTGAAGTAACACGTATGTGGATTTAAGCTCAAAGTAGATAATATTATACAAACCGGGAGCGACGAAACCCGTTTCTCTTTTTGGTAAAAGTGTTTATTCAAAAAGCTGAAATCCCATAATTTTCAACTGGGCAAAGTTATAATTCAAACAAGCAATAATTCAAGGCTCCTAATTGATTCTTTTCATAGTGATTTGATTTTGGGCAGTGAAATGAGCAGCCTGGGCTTATCTTTTTCTTTTTCCTTTTCTTCTTTTCTTCTTTTTGTTTTTTCAGTCTCTTTGAGCTCAATCAAGCAAAAATATCTGGTTTTTGAAAGAGATCATAGTGTGGGACATTGCAAATGAGGGCTGGTTGCAGAGGGTTTAAGTAGAAATTGGCTAAAATTTACCCAAAAAGAATGTTCTTCATCAATATAATTGTTTCTGATTATGTTATCAACAAAGCCTTACTCACGAGTTTTGGTTGAATTGGGAGACTTGTCGAAGTAGTTTAATATATTGTTGTACATAGAGTCGAGTGTGGCAATCTCGAGCCTGGGTCTGTATCAAGTTGGAAACAGATGTGTAAAAGGCTTAGCCACCTTAACATTTTAAGGTCTAAATAAATGTTTTAGTCCCTAATGTTTTATTTTTCAATTAAATTCCTGATATTTAAAAAGTTTCAGTTTAGTTATTTGTGATTTTACATTTTTTAATTATACCCCACTATTCTTTTTTGGATAATAATTATATTGGTAAAAATTAAAATGGGCTAACGAAGAATTGATTGAAGTTTAGAAATTTCTACCCAACTAGAAATTTGGAGAAGTAAAATTTATACTAATTAAAAGAGTTGACATAATAAAAAGAATGTTGAGAAGATTTTCGTATACTTCCGCAAGGTTGAAACATCATGAAAGCACATTATTCAGCTCTCAAAATATTCTATCAAATGTTTATTTTTTTTATAAAAATTAATATAACTATTGATAACACCATATGATTCTTTTTTTTTCTTTTGCAAAATCTCGTTTGACAAAAATAAATTTTCAAATCATGGTAAATTTATAAATTATATATATATATTTTTAGTACAACATGTGAGAGAATTCAAACTCGCAATCTCTTGGCCTCACATTTTCGTGACATTTCTAACCTATCAAAAAGTATTATGCGTGAGAGATTTATGAATCTCCTCTATTTTACAAATTCTAATCTATGACTAAATATTCAAGGTCCCAGTACATGTCTCTTCTCTTGATCTCAAATAAAATCTAGTAATCACTCATTAGTGATCAAGCAACTACAAGCAATAAGTTAAAGTGTCTAACTCAACAATGAAAACAACTTTGCTAATAGAAAACACATGAAATCCAATAGTCTACTAAGCACTAATAAAAAAGCATAAAAAAAGAAAGAAAGAAGAAAAGAAGAGGATTTTAGGGAAAAAAAAACCTTCATCTACGGCCTCCTCCACTCTGAAGAAAAGAAGACAATATCATACCATTATAAAGATACTCGGGTACCGTTGTCCTTAACATTGTATGTTTTTTTTTTCCTTAAATCTTATTTCTTCTTTTGTTTTGGAAAACCTTTAAAGTGACCTTCAACACTAATCTTTCTTCACATACAAAAATAAATGAAAAATAAAAATTAGCATCAACTTAGAAAGAAAAGTAACCTAAACTAGACAAGATAAGTTAATATATCATTGTAAGATTAAAAACTTTTGTGGAAATGTGGTGGAGAGAGAGATTTTGTGGTACATAGAGAAAAGAACTTGGGACTGGATCTTGGGTGTCCTCTCGCCACTACGCCAACACTCGAGAGTGCTATAAATGATTAAATTTACCATGAGTTAAGTTTTTCGATTCATAAGTCATTATTCATGTTTAATATGATATCAGAGCAGGAAATTTTGTGTTTATAGATTTGTTGAAATATTTTTCTCTTTTAATTTTTAATATCAAACATATTATTTTTTTTAGTTTTTGTTATTTTCATAACACAACAATTATGAAACAAAATTAAAAATGACCTCATCTACATATAAATATCTTTAATTAAAGTTTTGGAGTTTGGTTTTAGCTCATTACCTCACTTAGTGGTTTTGTTTTTAAAATATTAGATTTGGATAGCAATAAAAATATTTTGAATTTTTTAGAAAATATTTAAAATTTATTCAGTTACATAAAAAAAAACCATATTCTAGTCACTTATTCAGTTGCACATCCAAGTGTTGGTTAAACTTCTTAAACAATTATTTCTATAATTCTTAAGTTGACTGTAAATTTTCAGCATTGACAATATTCTAATTATTTGTTCTCGAAAATCCCTTAGAGATGACATAGTGGCAAAGACTAGGGCTTTGGAGTGCCACCTGTCCGAATCCTATACGATCACAATGTTACTCAGTCCAGGAGTTTAATTGCAATCATATTATAAAGTTTTGAGTGCTAATTACAAAATTAGAAGCTTTAAGGAATAATAAAATTATAGAAACTAAATCGTTAACTTTTGAAAGAAACTTGAAATTAACTTTTTTATATATTAAAAGAAACTTAACCCAAAAAAATTCACGACAGAGTCTAAATCGTTATAAACTTTAAACTATAAGAACTAAATGGTTACAAACTAAAGTTTATTAACTAAATTGTTACTTCAATGAAATTACAAGGACCAAAAATAAATTTTTTAACCTTAATTATTTTACAATTTTACTCTTTCTTTTGTTTATTTATACTATTAATATTTTTATTCTAATAAAAAAGGTATGCAATTTTTATTAGTTGGACATGATTTTATTATATAATATTACAAATTTCTATTTAATTAGTCAATTATTTAACTTTACTTTGTTATTATGTATTAATATCAATCAATTTGTTAAAATATAATTCATTACTATTAAATATTATAACCAAGAAAATTATTAATACATTATATTAGAAATGATTGTTCTAGTAAAAATTATATCAATCTTTTTTATTCCATGTGATTTTATTTTAATTATTTATTATTTCTCAATATTAGATATATTGTTAAAAAAAATTAATATCTAGTAATAAAATACATTAATGTTTATTATTATTTCAATTAAAAATAATATTGCCACACATTAACCTGTAGTAACCTAAAAATAAGGAACAAGTATAGGAATAATTGTATATCTTATTTCCATTCCGATTAAGGCAATTTTATGACCTCTATTGGACATCATAAAACTACCTTAAACATGGCACGAGATGAGAGGTACTTAAAGGTCATATGAGGTATAACACCTCTAATATCTTTAGCATGAAGAAATATACTTCAGAATCTCCTATCGACATTAGTCTTAACCAAGGTTGCTCTCAATACTCCTCATCCACTATTACTAATATCCGGCTAAGAATATTGCAATTATGCTTAGTAACCATTTAATGGGTCCCACACGCCAATGTTTATAAATATATGATTAAATTTTGTGCATAGGTACGCGAATACGATTGCTCGTTCTAATGACATATCTCATATTTTACTGACTTGAATGTTGAAGCTCTTATACTTCTATGTGCAGGTCTCCCTCGCACATCTTTGCACGTTCTATATCAGTTTTGGTTATCTCTATTCTCTCTTTAACATACTTCTGACCATAGTATTAAATATTCATCGACATGTCCATGTACCATGGGTTCAACATTAGAGGTAAATCAACTTTTCCATAATATTACAAAAATATTAACAAAAGTTAGAAAAAATATCAACAAAATTTCACAAATATAGACATAATATTAATATTAATCAATTTTAACTTATTTAAAAATGGTGAAAAAATTATTTGTTAATTTAAATATTATATATCAACTTTTTTATTTTTGTAAGTTTTTCAGAAATGTCTATCGACATTGACGTTTTATCAATATTTCCATCGACATTTCAATGAAATTTGGACCTCGACATTTACATTGACATCGACATTTAAAACTTTATTTCTGATATATACAACTCAATAAATTTTAGACTCACTCCATCATCTCAGTACATTAAATAAAATTTTAACTCCATTCCCAGTTCACAATTAAACTGTATGTATCATAAAAAAGGAAAAAAGAAAAGAAAAAAAATTAAGCTCTGTATCTTTCAGATTTATTTATAATGTAAAGTTAATTCCTAACATCTTTCAGTATACAATTAAAATTTACTTATAATATACAGTCAATTCCTTACATTTTCACCGTACAATTTAATTTATTTGCATTGTACGGTTAGCTTACACACACATTTATAACATTTAACATCATCAAATAATTCAAAACAAATTTAGATTTTTGTTAAATATACATAATATAATTTATAAAAGAATTAAGGTCAAAGATTGATTTTTTATCCAATATTTGTTCAAAGGCCGACCAATAATTCAGTTGGTTAAGGTAAATATTAGAATCTTCACCCACGCTGATTGAACGGGTGAAAAAATAAATAAAAAAGGGTAAAATTTTAATTCTATTTAGAGTTATTTTTTAAAATTTTTTGAACAACTAACCAAAATTAACAAAAAAAAATTGTAAAACCCTTTTGTCTTCCTTTTAAATTTTCAAATATTATTTTATAAATTAAGTTGGTCCATATAGTTTTAAAAGCTTTTATTTAATCTCTTTGGACTTAGTTTTGATTTGTTTTTTTTTTCCTTTTAGTTCAATAATACGTGGGAGTGAGAATTTGAACCTCCAATCATTTTGATGAGTATATATATCTTAACTAATTGAGTTATCTTCAAGTTGGTAATTTTAATTTCATCTTTATGATTTTAAAATTTTCAATTTAATCGATTTGGTTACAAACTTAAAAGTTACAAAATAATCCTTAAACTATTTTCTTTAGACAAAAAGTTCACCTATTTCCTTCTATTTTTTTACCGCCGCACTAAAACCTAATAAAATTAATTAACAGAGTAAGCCAATAAAAATATTAATTCAACGTGGGCCTTTATGACAAAATTATAGTAACATTAACTCAACGTGCGCCTTTTTGACTAAATTATAGAGGCA